TACAATGAGGTGTGGCTATATTTTAGCAAACTCTCAGTTCATCAAACATAATTAAAATATTAAATATTTTAATATATGTATTTTAATGTGTACTGCCTTTCCTAAAAAAAGTTCCTTATGGACAAAGAAGGGCTCCTTACCTAGAAAAGAAATAACTTCTTCATGAACATGGTTTTCCAGTTGTGCCAGACTCTTTTCTGGTCTATGTGATTAAGTGCTAGTGCAACGATTAAAAAGAATGCCAATTTGCACACTAGTGGTTGTTTGGATAGGTCCAGTTGTGGCAAAGTATTGCCACAAGGAAAAATAAAAGTGGGTTTTTACTTCTGCCATATGAGGTTGAGCATTTGGCCCTTTCTGCACTGACTCCTGTACACAGAGTCATTGCTTATATCTAGGCTGTGACTCCATGTATGACTTCCCCTCCCCTAACTGCCTAAAGGTACACAGCTTCAATGCTGGATAAAACCTGCCAATACTGCCTTTGGACGTTTTGGCCCCAGGGCATCCAGGCCAGCGCACAGTTGGTCAGACAGTAGCCCAAGCCCAGCCTAGTTCTTCCAATAGGAACATTAATGGGGAGTCAGGTGACCAGGGGGGACGTATAGGCACCATGACCCCTGACAAGAGGGCAATAAAACCCTTCCTACTTCTTTTGGGACTTGTCCCAGGTGACGACGTGTGTGTGTGTGTGTGTGTGTGTGTGTGTTCCCCTTGTGCCTCTGCTTTGCTCCAGCCCTGCTCCTGCCTGACTCCAGCCCTGCTTCTGCCTCCTATGTGCATCCCACCCCCTTTACAGGTCCAATGTGCATCCCACCCCCTTTACAGGTCCAATGTGCATCCCACCCCCTTTACAGGTCCAATGTGCATCCCACCCCCTTTACAGGTCCAATGTGCATCCCACCCCCTTTACAGGTCCAATGTGCATCCCACCCCCTTTACAGGTCCAATGTGCATCCCACCCCCTTTACAGGTCCAATGTGCATCCCACCCCCTTTACAGGTCCAATGTGCATCCCACCCCCTTTACAGGTCCAATGTGCATCCCACCCCCTTTACAGGTCCAATGTGCATCCCACCCCCTTTACAGGTCCAATGTGCATCCCACCCCCTTTACAGGTCCAATGTGTTATACAATTTATGGGTGGAGTTGTCAGGTACATGTATTCCTAAGGTTACTTGACACTTTCTATTTCAAGATTGTGCTTTCAGTTGCTTATTTTTTTGCTTGTGTAAGCTGCAGTTTTCTAATCTGGGTTTGTGCCTCGGGGTGATAATTTTGGAAATCCTCGTCTCTCTGAGCTTCTAACAGTTCTGTTTTGGCACATGTCACAGCTCAGTTCAGTGTAATTGGATCTGCTCAACCAATCACTGCTATTGTGGGACAGGACATCGTGTTACCCTGTCACCTGTCCCCCAGAATGAGCGCGGAGAACATGGAAGTGAGGTGGTTCCGAAATTACTTTGACACTTTTGTGCATCTGTACCCTGATGGGAGAGATCAGAATGGACAACACATACCAGAATATAGAGGAAGGATAGAGATGCTGAACAGTGGCATCATGAATGGAAACATTTCTTTGAAGATTTTCAATATCAAACGTGCTGATGAAGGGCAATACCACTGTTTTGTTCAGGATGAGACTGCTAATGCTGAAACTGCATTGCTTCTGAACATAGCAGGTCAGTGGCTTGTGTGGATATTATCTTTGCATCTTCCAATTTTTTAAATTTCATAATATAATAACTTTGAGAGTGTGCCTGTGAATTGTTTGATTACAATGAGGTGTGGCTATATTTTAGCAAACAATTACCCTCAGTTCATCAATCATAATTAAAATGTTGAATATTTTAATATATGTATTTTAATATGTACTGCCTGTCCTAAAAAAAGTTCCTTATGGACAAAAAAGGGTTCCTTACCTAGAAAAGAAATAACTTCTTCATGAATATGGTTTTCCAGTTGTGCCAGACTCTTTTCTGGTCTATGTGATTAAGTGCTAGTGCAACGATTAAAAAGAATGCCAATTTGCACACTAGTGGTTGTTTGGATAGGTCCAGTTGTGGCAAAGTATTGCCACAAGGAAAAATAAAAGTGGGTTTTTACTTCTGCCATATGAGGTTGAGCATTTGGCCCTTTCTGCACTGACTCCTGTACACAGAGTCATTGCTTATATCTAGGCTGTGACTCCATGTATGACTTCCCCTCCCCTAACTGCCTAAAGGTACACAGCTTCAATGCTGGATAAAACCTGCCAATACTGCCTTTGGACATTTTGGCTCCAGGGCATCCAGGCCAGTGCACAGTTGGTCAGACACTAGACCAAGCCCAGCCTAGTTCTTCCAATAGGGATATTAATGGGGAGTCAGGTGACCAGGGGGGACATATAAGCACCATGACCCCTGACAAGAGGACAATAAAACCCTTCCTACTTCCCTTGGGACTTGTCCCAGATGACGACATGTGTGTGTGTATGTGTTCCCCTTGCGCCTCTGCTTTGCTCCAGCCCTGCTCCTCCCTGACTCCAGCCTTGCTGCAGTTCTGCTCTTGCGCCTTCTTCTTTCCTCCTGCTTAATCCCAGGCTCACTGCACTCCCTGTCTTTATTCTGTTTGGACCTCCTGTCTCTGACCTACCTTCCTCTCTGATGACCATACTGCCTCAACCCTTCACCTGAACACCCACATTTCAACTGATACCTGGTTCTGAGTTCTGGCTTATGTGAACATAAGGTTTTTGCACTAATTACTCGAAGTGGGAGGCTGTTCCACATGTTAAGTTCTCTAACTGTTACGAGGCCTCTCCTAATTTCCAGTCTATATTAACCCATGGTCAGCCTACACCCATTTGTTTTGGGGCCAAAGTTGCTTTTAGGTCAAGTTGTTCTTTTCCTCCTCTAATTTTTTCCTCTTCTTGTATTTAGTACTCATAGTTATATCCCATTTTCAGCCCTCATTTGCTGAACTAAAGTCCAAGTCTCTTAATCTGTTCTCATAAGATATGCTTTTCTTTCCCTGAAAATTCTAGCAGCCCTTCTTTGTGCCCCTGCCCGTTTCAATCCATCCTTCTCGAACATCAGTGACCTGCATTATACACAGTATTCTGCATGAGCGCACCCAAGGACCTGTGTAATGGCATTAATGCTTTTCTTTCATTCCTGCAAATACCTTGACAGATACATCCTAGAATTCTGTTTGCCTTTTTCACATGTGCATCGCTCTGGGTGGACATTTTCCTCCTGCGTTATGGAATACACTCAGGTCCTCTTCCTTATCAAGCATTTCCATGTTCTTCACTGCCAGTGTATACCAGACATTTTTAAATGAATCTGCAAGAACATGACCCATGGGAGACTGGTGCTTCCTGAGTCGGGCAGGCGGGGGTGGTACTTGTCCTCCCCTCCCCGCAGCCAGTCACTGACCAGGAGCGGGAATCCCCCCACGGCCAATTGCGCTAACCAGGAGGGGGTTGTTCTCGCATGGCCAATCGCACCAACCCAGAAGTGCCAGTGGGGGACCACGGGGATTGCTTCTCCTGACGCCCCCACTCCCTGGCCGGTGCTCTTAAGGTGGGGCATCAGCACTATAGCCAGCCCCCCACCCCCATCGCGTAGGCAGGGAACACTGGCTGCCAGGGGGTGCACCAGCGCTCTTAGGGGGTGCATGTGCACCCCTGTGGACCCCCTACGCATCGCCATTGACATGATCATTACATTTTGTGCAGATTAATGTTATGCCATTGCTATTACTTCAGTCCTGAGCTTCTATCCCTTTTTCTGTATAATGCCCTGATTGTTTTCAGTTACAACAACTTGTGATTAGAAACTTTCATCAGCAAACTCCTAACACTTGTGGCAAGGTCATGATGAAAACATAAAATAGGCCCTTTGCTATGTTCATTACATCACAGTCCTCTCTTTTTCCCTGTCCTCTTCTAATTTATATATATGAAGAATACTTTGCTATTAATTTTCATGTCTTTCCCCATGTGTAATTCACCTTGAGTTTTACACTTCTCACATTATCGCTATACTCTTGGCATTGAAGACCTAGCCTTGTTTGCTGATCAATCTTTTTTTTTTTAAATCCGTGTAGAGTCTGTTTATTCCTCATGTCCTTCTGGAAAGGTTATCATTCATTTATATCTGCAGCCGCTTCCTACCGATTTTCTCTGTTACTTTACATAGAGATTCGTAACAGTCGTAGCACTTTAGCCTGGAAATCCTTTAAACCTTATTTACATTCAAGCACCCGAATTCATCTGTCCAAAGAAAGTTATCAACAAGTTCCTTTGGTTAATCAAGTTTTACCGTATTGAAATCCAAAAACCTAACTGAAAAACCTACTTATAAATATGTTCTTCTATTTCTTTTACATCAAATAAGCACATATAGTCACTAGGTTACAAGGCTCAGCCATTCTCCTCTGTTTTACTTCTAGCAGGGTGATTCCATTGTGTTGTGGGAGGAAAGGACCAAAAACATGCAGTTAAATTGCTACAGGAGTGCCACTTAGGGGCATGATGTGGAAATAGATTTTAGCCCGTAGTCCTGTAATTTTTTACGGATGTTAGGGCTCTGAATCTATCCCTTAAGTTTTACACAACTGAAAGATTTTGTATATTTCAAAGTAAGCCAAATTCACCTATTTGTCCTTTAGTCTTAGGTTCTGTTCCTCTCATCGCTGTGGAGGATTACCAAGAGGGAGGGATCCGCATCGTTTGCAGATCAACTGGCTGGTTCCCAGAGCCCAAAGTGGTATGGAGAGATCCCAGTGGGCAGCATTTACCATCAGTTTCTGATGAAGCAAAAGCTCAAAAAAATAATGGCCTGTTTGAAACAGAAACTGCTATTGTTATACAAGAACATACACACTCAAACTTGTCCTGTTGGATAAGAGACAAGTATCTTAGCCAAGGGAAGGAATCAACTATTTATATATCAGGTCAGTTTTTATTTGAATCTCACAGTGAACTCACAGCCGTACAGTAGAAGAAAACACAGTGAGACAGCAAATATGTCTCCCTTCTCCACCAGTCCACCAAAAAGAGACAGTTGCTTTTCCAATTCAAAGCTCATCCATTGCAAATACTTTAACTACTGTCTTATTCAGAATTTTGAATTTGATCAAAATTTAACCTTAACTCCGTATTTTATTAGTGTCTATTTTTAATTGAAAAATACTAGCAAATTGCCATTCAAGAATAATGGGCTCTGGGTCCAAATCCGCCCCCTCCCACTCTCCAGGGGTAGATTAAGATTATTGTGTACTAGTGTCCTGAGCTACAGTGGGGTGGCGGAGGGGCCCCTTCCCCTCCTGGTGCTGGTGGGGGAGGCTGGCTGGACCCTGCCTGGCTGGGGGTGGCGGGGCACATGCAGCTTCTTTTCCCTGCCACCTACCCCCACTATTCCCTGCTAGTGCCAAACGTACATGCACACAGACACACACTGGCACAGACACACGGGTGTGCACACAGGCAGGCACGCACTCTACTCTCACTCACTGTCTGCACATGGACACAGACACACGCACGCACAGACACACGTAGACACACGTGAAGATGGGCGCACACTCTGGTTACACACTTTCTGTACACGGACCCACAGACACAAACACACTTTCCCTGCCATGAACACAGACACATGCACACACGCATACACGCAGATGGGCGCGCACTTTACCCATGCTCTGCACATGGACACACAGAAATAAATACACTTGTAGCAGGGCACTAAGGTGCCTGCTACTTGTAGAGCCAAAGTAACTACGCAGGTGCCGGTTGCTAGTGTAACCAGAGGGCGCAAGTGACTCACACCTGCCTGGTCAGCTGACCGGAAGGGCAGGGCCTGGCTCCTATATAAACCACAGGCCGGAGGCCAGGAGGCAGTTCCCTGCTGGCAGCCAAGGGGGAAGGAGCCAAAGAGAAGGGGCCATACTGCAGGTATGGCCTGAGATTTTGGGACAGCTGAAGCAACTCGGGTGTGGCAAGATGAGGTTGGATCCAGATGGCTTCGATTTTACGTTACAGCCCAGGTGCTTGTGTTTTGTTTTGCTATTGGTTACTGGTGGCTTGGGAGAGGCTATATGGGGATGGAGGAGGCCTCAGAAGGGCACTCACAGTAGTGTGGGGACCAGCGCCAGTGAGGGTGCAGCATTCAGGGTGCACCGACCCCAGCCCAGAAAGGGGGTGGCATGGGAGAATCCCCAGAGAGGGGGGGCTGTGTGGAGAAGCCCCAGAGAGGGGGGCAGCATTGGAGAAGCCCCAGAGAGAGGGAGGGCAGTGTTGAGAAGCCCCAGGGAGGGCGTAGTGCCAGATAGGGCTGTGGAAAGCCTGAGCGCCAGTGAAGGCACAGAGTGAGGCAGGGCCATGGAGGGCCCAGTGAGGAAGAGGGGACCAGATTACAACAAGGCCCGGACAACAACGGTGGTACCATCGGTGAGGCATGGGCTGCGGTGTAGGGGAGGAAACGGAGCCGCAGATAGTGCCCCCTGGCATCGGGGCAGAAAAAGGGAAGCCTCCTGCTAATTAACATCAATTAATCAATTAACAACAAGGCATGGCGGGAGAGAAAGCGGGTGGTTGGTTCAGGAAAGGGTGTGCGGGCCACGTTTAGATCAGCCCAAAGCGGGCACCTGTTACAATACTCTCCCTGCCCTGCCAGATGCACACACACACACACACAGACATGCGCATACCCACATGCACAAATCCATGTACACCCACGTGCATGCACAGAAATGCTCACACACAGAAACAGACATACAGATGCACAGACGTGCACACAGACACAGATGTATGCACGCAGGTGCAGACGCAGATGCAGACACAGACACACAGCTGCACTGCACATGCACACAGATGCTCTGTAGACACAGAAGCATGCACACATATGCACGCACATGCATTCAGGTGCAGACACACACACATGCACTCACACAGAGACACACACATACACACATGCCCCAGCCACATCCCTTCCCTTCCCAGGACCTCCACCCTCCCTCATTCTCCATGGCACTGAGGCAGCCCCCTCCCACTCCCCCACGCAGCCGCCTGCAGCCCCCTCTTGCTGTTGCACTGCTTGGCAGGGAGCTGTTGCTAGACTGTGTCTCTGTGGCTGGGCATGGGGCCAGGCTGGGCTGGCTCAGGCTGGGAGCCCTGCACAGCTCCCCTGTGTGCATGTGGCAGCACTCTGGGTGTGTGTGAGGGGGTGTATCTGGGGGATATGGTGAGGTTTGGGGTCTATGCCCCCTCCCCAGCACCACTGCCACCTTGCAGTGCTCCAACAGAAAAAAATGCAATTGGGACCTCCATTTTTTGACTACAGGCTACCTAGGTACCCTAAGGTTTTCAAGCCTGATCAGAATTGAAATGTGATCACCTAGAAACCTAACTCCTGACTAAGATGCATCGTGATTGATATTAGAGCTGGAGAAGAAGCTAAAGTCCATTTCAGTTTCAAGAGGGACCTGGTCCAATAGGCATCTTCACAGCATGCCTAGTTCATATTGACATCCTAGACATCCATTCAAAATTATAAGGTATCTACTAGGCCTGTGCAAAGTGGCAAGTATTCACTTCGAATTCAGATTTGGGTGATTCGAATCACCGTCCCAAATTGATTCGGCCAAATCTGATTCGGATATTTGGCCACTGCCGAATTGGCTGAATCTTTGAATCAAATGGGCCCTATCCTCTGCCCGCTGTCCCAGTCCTGTCAATTGCTGCCCTGGTCCCAGTGTCCCAGCTTATTTTTATTAAAAAAGCCCTGCACCCACTGGCTCCTACCAGGTGTGGGGGAGGTGGCAATCCCCGCTGCCCCCCACTGCCCCGCACTGCATGGCGGGGAATCTGCCATGAGCCCCCAGAGGCCCCAGCAGCTGCTGCAGCAGCCAATGAGTGTGGGACTTTTTTTTTCCCAAAGAGCCAGGACACTGGGGCCGGGCAGGGCAGCCATTGACAGGGCTGGGGGAGTGGGCAGGTGTTGGGGGTTGTTCAGAGGGGCTGGAGGAGCAGGCAGGGGATGGGGCCTGGTGGGAGTCCCCTCATGGTCCCCTCCCTCCTCCTTCAGGCCCGTAACTTCTACTTACCAGCACAGAGACTGGGTCCAACTCCCTGATGCAGCAAGCAGGGATTGCCTGAATCTCCAAATCTTTCTCTGAATCTTTTCCAAATCAATTCAGAGGTGTTGAATCAATGTGGACCTTTATATTGGTCTCCTGGTTCAATTCAGATACGGAGATTCAGCAAATCTGCCCCTTTTCCATGCATTCTCTTCAACTAGGCCTTAGGTTCTTTTGTGTTCTGATTCACTGATTAAAATTCAGGGAGGAGAACAACAATAAAGAATATTTTCTAACTCCACTATTTGGGAAAATTAGAATTATGCTTCATTTAAAAATCTGGGAGTAACATTGGATTTTCCAAAAATTTTCTTAATATGAAGCTTCCGGTTCTTCTATTTCTACAAACTTGAAGAGAAATTCTTTGAAGGTGTAAGACTATTCAAATACATAATTGAATACTATTACAGAGCAAGACATCTTATCCCTGCATATATGGTACCAGAGGAGCACTGAATCAAACCTATTCTGTACTTTTGCCAAAAATTCCATGACTACACTGCTGGGGTCATTTTTAATAGAAATGCCATACCTTGTGAACAGTGTTGTGGGCCTTCTGCCGTTCCTTTTTTCTCAAAACAATCCTAGGTACCCTGTTTTACAGATCCCTTTTTCCCTCGGGTGAATACCTGGATGGTGGCTCTGATTGTGACCCTGGTGGTTTTCCTGGGTTTCTCTGTCTTGACCATTTATTTCTTCAAGCTAAGAAGTAAGTATTGGGGGGATAATATGGTTCAGTTAGCAAGAAATTTTCTTCTGATAATTGAAAAGTGTATAGATCAGACTAAACCAAGACCAAGCAAAGAAGAGAATATAGACATGCTGCCCCCTGAGCAGACCACAGAAGAATCTGTTACTAAAGATGTCTACACCACCTCAGCCCAGAAAAACTGAACTGTTCTGAGGCATGTTGTTCCTGCACCATGAACACTGCCTCCCAGAATGGAAGTCATGTAGCTGCCTTAGTGTCAGGCATGGCATGTGCTAAATGGTCTGCAAAGAAGATGACTTTGATAGGTGTCCTGTCCTGACCACAAAGATGAGAAGAATGAGATTTCACTTTTTCCTACATATGGCAATCTTGCATTCAGTCAGGCTATCAGGCCCCAAATACATATTTTAAAGTTAATGGGAATAAAGCTTCCCACAAAATAAACCTAAATACATAAACTATCTTTTGAAGACACAGCTATGTATCAATCATTTACCTGCCAACTGAGGGAAACTCACTGGCCGTTAGAATCGAGGCAGGAATATCTGAACAGGTGGGCAGTAAGTGAAAAGAGAACAACAGGAACTGAAAAGAGAGCTTTTTGGTGTGTGCCCAATAATAACGATTCAACAATGAGGCAAGATACAGCATGATGCTCCCTAGACTATGGCAAGTCAGTGTAAAATATCCCTTATGTTTAACCTTGGCAGGGTGTTTATTTCTCCCCGAGTGCTGCCTCCAGTATGTAGCCTACATATTGGAGGGAAGGAAATAATCAAACCTCCATCAGAGTTAATTATTCTCAGACCCCACTCATTGTTCTCACATGATACATATCAGCAGGGCCAAGAAACAGGATTGAAGTCTATAGCGTAGTGGTGCACAACTCAAATTTTATTTAGATGTACACAGCTTTTGCTTTCCAGTAGAGGGCTGCCATGAGTGGGCTCCACTCTGTGTATATTAGCTCGCCTCAGTTCCCCTCTTTGTTTAATGCTACATTTCTTACAATTGTTACATGATGCTTTTCATTTTAGCAGAGATATGGAAGGAAAGCACAAGGATTAAGATTCATAACTTCCATGTAGGGGGTGTGCAGGGGTTGTAGTCTTTAGGTCACAGCCACTATAACAGCCACTTAGGTGCAGTGCTCTGAGCCCAACCTAAAGTTTGCAAAAGCAGTTCCCCTGCTCATCACCTGGAGGAATGTACTTTGTCATGCATAGTACATCTAGGGGGAGGATTGGGATTGCTTCTGTCTGCTGACAAATACACTTATAGCATCTTTTCTCTGATTTTGTCTTATGTAGGTAACCTTCTGAGACAACTTGGTGAGTTTTTCTCCTCCTTAATGTACCTTTTTTCCATTACATATTAAATCCTCCTACTTACCAATCATTCTGACTATCACTGCAAGGCCTGTACTCCATTAATAACAACGGACAACATTCTATTTTTCCTGGTCTCGTAAGTGTTCATTTTTGATCATCTGTAGGTCATTCTTGGCACTTAAATGGCCAGGGGAATTCTGTTCATGGCTACATAGCCATCCACAGATGGGCAACTACATAGCTGCAGAAACTGGATATTTACAGTACTAACCGGGGCCATACAAGTGCTCCTTGTAAACGCAAAACTGTTTAGCTACTGAAGGGTCCTGGACTTGCAATCAGCACTGGAAAAGGATTCTCCATGTGTCTGTTCCCATTGCTCCCTACCCCACTCCCAAATATTTTAGGAGCTAGAGAGACCTTGGAAACTAGAAGCCCTGAACTGTAAAACACCTGCATGTGGTGGCTAGCACATAGGTCTCTCTCACTTTCCAACATAACATTCAAACCGCCACCTCCCAGTTCAGTCATTATTGTGGCCCTTCTCTAATGCTCCTTTTGACGCAGGCCCTCTAGGCAGCCACGGGTGGGAGGTCATAGTTTCACAGTGCTTAGGGTCAGAAGGGACCTAAACAGATCATCGTGTCTGACCCCTGCCCCAGGAAGGAACGAGTGCAGGGTCATAACACCCCAGCCAAATATCTGTCCAGCCTCCTCTTGAAGACCCCCAAGGTAGGAGAGAGCACCACCTCACTTGGGAGCTCATTCCAGAGCCTGGCAGCCCTAACCAGAAAGTAATTCCTCCTGATGTTCAGCCTGAACCTTCTCTCTGAGAACTTGTGGCCATTATTCCTAGTAACCCGAGGTGGTGCCTGTGGGAATAGAGCCTCACCCAATTCCCGCTGGTCCACCCTGGTGAGTTTGTAAACAGCTACCAGATCTCCTCTCAGCCTTCTCTTGTGGAGGCTGAATAGATTGAGGCCTTTTAGCCTCTCTTGGTAGGGTCGGCCCCACTGCCTCTTGGCCATGCGAGTGGCCCTCCTCTGAACCCTCTCAATGCTAGCCACATCCCTCTTGAAGTGCGGCACCCAGAACTGGACACTGTACTCTAACTGCAGCTTGACCAATGCCACCTGAAGGGGAAGGATCACCTCCCTTGACCTGCTTGTGATACATCTGTAGCTTAACGACAAGGTGCGGCTAGGCTTACTGACCACGTCCTCACATTGGCGGCTCACATTCATACTGGAGTCGACAATGACTCCAAGATCCCTTTCTGCCACCATGTTGACAAGAAGGGTGTTCCCCAGCCTATAGGTGTGTTGCTGGTTCCTTCTCCCTAGATGCAGCACTTTGCCCTCGTCTGTGTTGAAGTCCATCCTATTCTCATCTGCCCACCTCTGTAACCTGTCTAGATCTAGCTGGATTCTGTCCCTCCCCTCCAGTACGCTCACCTTTCCCCACATCTTGGTGTCATCAGCAAATTTGGACAGTGTATTCCACACTGTAACGCCGGGGGGCGCTCCTTGGGGTCTGTCTACTGGTGGCCCCGCCCACCTGTTATGGCCCAATTGCCCACCTTCTCTTCTGCCACGCCTTGTCGTTGCTTAATTGTTATTAATTAAGCAGGGACATTTTATGCCCCAATGCCAGGGGCGCTATCTGCAGCTCCGTTCCTCCCCTACACTGCAGCCCAAGCCTTGCAGATGGTATTTGTAAATTCCTCTTTATGTTGGGGTCTCAGCCACTGTGGGCCTCCCGCTTTTTCTCTAGCTAGGCCTGTCAGTCAACCCCCCCACCCCACCACTAATCAGGGTTTGACTCCCAGGCTGTGGGTCTCAAAAAAAAAACCTCACTGAGGCTCCTGCCACTCTGTGGCGCTGGGGTCTACTCACCCCCCAAATCCTGCACCCTCTCTGGTGCTGGGGTCAGCTCACCCACAAATCCTGTGCCCTCTCTGGCGCTAGGGTCAGCCCACCCCTGAATACCATGCCCTCTCTAGCACTAGGGTCAGCTCACCCCCCAAAATTGCGCCCTCTCTGGCATTGGGGTCCCCACAATGCAGTGGGTCCCCAATGAGGCCTCCTCCTTCCCCAAATAGCCTCACCCAAACCACCAGTGTTAACTTTAAACAAGGGAGGCAACATGCCTGGTTACTTCAGATGATCGTGAGGACGGCTCAGGGCATGGCATAGTCTTCCGACAGAAACTGCAGCCGCGGCACCGTAGTCATTGGGAGTCTGCCTTCCTGCTGCCCCTCTGGCCTTCTCCACTCGCCATTGGTAGGGTCCTGGCCTCCCTCTTCCTGTCACCCAGCCGGCTGCAGGGCTTGAGCCTTAATCCCTACGTGGCCGGCCAGCCATGACTGGAAGGATCTGGACTTAAAGGGACCACCCTGCCTCTTAGTAACAGGGTTAGGGTTCCCTGTTATATACACGCCCACATCCAGATTGCTGATAAAGATGCTGAACAGTACAGGCCCCAGGACCGAGCCCTGGGTGACTCCACTGCCCACATCCCTCTGGGTTGAAAACAGCCCGTCCACCACTACTCTCTAGGTGCGACCATCTAGCCAATTTGCTACCCATTTGACTGTGTAGGCATCAATGCTGCAGTCACCTAGGTTTTTTTTTAAGAGAATGTGGTGGGAAACAGTGTCAAAGCCTTCTTAAAGTCCAGGAAGATGACATGCACCTCAGCGCCCTCATCTAGGGACTTCGTGACCTGATCATAAAAGGAAACCATGTTAGTCAGGCAGGATCTGCCCTCAATGAACCCATGTTGGTTGCCCCTGAGCATTACCTCCCCTGATGGTACCTTGCAGATGTGCTCCTTGATAATTTTATCAAAGGTCTTCCCAAGGACTAAAGTGAGACATACATGGAACAAGAAAGAAGAGTGCAAGCTATAGCATGGGAGGCTCAGTGAAGTGGCTTCTGCTCTATGAGGGAGGGGTCCTGGAGCCATTGCTCCTTGTGGGACAGAAGCTTCCTCCATCCATTTTTTCCAATGACTAGATTAATGGCTCAGCTCAAAAGGAGCACCAAAGAAGGGACTTGACTTGGCTGATGTGGTGTTGTTAGAGCACTGTACTTCAGAGTCAAAGAGGGACCAATGTTTAAGCCCCCTCTGGCTGAGGACTGGGATAAAAGTCAGATACTCTAAGTTCCAGGTAAGTGCCCTAGTCCCTGAGCAACTGGGAGGCAGCAGAGGAGGGGGAAATGGGAGAGATCACTTTTGCTTTTTTCCCTTCCCCCTCTCTCTGTTACTGCACAGGCACATTTAGTTGTCTGTGTGCCCAGGAAAAGGATTCCTCTTAGTGTGTAAGTGCCAAAAAGGCCACTTAGACAACCAAAAAATGGCCACTTAGGACAGTATACTATTCCACCTAAAGTCTCAAGACTTCATAGAGTCTTGTGGAGGGTGGGACTCTCGTTGTGGTAGGCTTTCATTCTTTTCTCATTTTGAGTAGAAGGGAATGTAAGTTCTGAGTGCTCTTTTAATTGTGCTTCAAAGTCTGTTTTGGCAGGGTGGGAAGCAGGTTTTGCAGCAGTTCTTTAGCCCAAATGTTCCTATTTACCCAGACATGCTGTTAGAGATCCCAGGGACAGATCTGGAAAGGCGGGGAAACTCAGACTTTTCCCGCTTACTCAGACATGCTCCTGGCATCTCTGGGGAAGCATCTCAGTAAATGGGGAAAGATAGGCAGGTGCTCTCAATCCCCATGAGAACACATGGATCCTGTTCTGAACCATAATGTGGTGGGACAAAGGGTGACATGAATTTTGCCCAGAGAAGTAAATGATGCCTCACCCAATGACGTATCATGGCACAGCTGGTGTTCTTCATTTGGTGACATCTATTCCTAGTCTTAGTGAGGGGGTCACTTAGTAGGACTTTAAGTTTTCCCTCCTGTTTCATGAATGAGGACATACTGCAGAAGTGGTATGATGGAACAGTATCTTTACATACTCTCCAATATTATTCCCCCTTTCTGACCTATGTTCCTTTGTCTTTGCCTGGATGCTTGGCCACCTGCACTTCATCAAGAGGCCTTTTATTGATGAATATTCAGTGAAGAGTTCTCATCCCAATATTTTTTTCTTGGTTGCAGGGTGGAGAAGAGATGTCATCTGTCCAGGTAATGGAAGTGTATAATGAATCAATGACTAAAACACTCTCTTTCTGAGGTTTCCTAACCATTTTCTTATGCTGGCTGTTTCTGCATGTATGTGCTACTATTTGTCTGCTAAATGAGACTTTCTTTCCAGACATCAGATGAGCTGATGAACCATCCAGCTTTGGAAATCAACAAAGCACAAAAGAAAAATGAGCAATAGATTTGCCTACAGAAACATTATTTCTTCTGCTCTTTTCTGTATCAGAAAATGCAGCCCATTGTCAAGTTTCCCTTTGTCTTCCACTTCTGCAAAGCACTTCCACACTGCCTTTATTCTCTGTCTGATACTGGATGGCCCAGGAGGAGGAGGATGGGGTCATCACAGGTTTAGCAGCAGGTTTGGTAGGGTGGAAGGATTGGGTTTTGATTGGACTTGGACTCTGAGTTGTGTAAGTCGCATTGGATTTGGCATCCTACTTTACAGGGGTGATTTTGAAACTTTTAACCAGTGTCAACAAACTCATTTTCTTTCTTCATTTCTGTTTAAGTAAAGAAACCCACCAGACTGGTGTTTGTTTATATGGATGCAGCTATATTGAGGGCAGATCCAGAGGGCAGAGTGCATTGCTCCCATAGCAGCCCTCTTTTATTCCTGCTCTACCCAGATTTCAGAGCCAACTGCCTGAGAGCAGCAGTGGCATTTCTATCCAGGCAGCACTGAGGGGGTCATCTGCCTTCAAGGCTCATTATTAGTTACCTGGTTCCTACTAATATCTGTTCATTCTGGAAAAAAAACACTCACTGTGTTAATAGTCTTGCTGTTTCACTATTCAAACTAGCCTCTCTCCTGTCATTTAGCTGTCAATCTGTCAACCATTCCATCCCCTCCCGCCCTCCCCCACTAAGGATCTGATCTCACTTCCACTCCCCACCCCGCCTTCAGCTTCAGGCCAGACCCCGCTCCCACACTTGCTGCTTCAGGTCTGCCCCTGCCCCTGCACTTCAAGTCCTACCCTGCCCCCATCAGTTGATGTCCAACACAGCACTCCCCAACCACAGCCCACTTCAGGTCCAACCCCACTCCCCTCCCGCCCTCCCCCACTAAGGATCTGATCTCACTTCCACTCCCCACCCCGCCTTCAGCTTCAGGCCAGACCCCGCTCCCACACTTGCTGCTTCAGGTCTGCCCCTGCCCCTGCACTTCAAGTCCTACCCTGCCCCCATCAGTTGATGTCCAACACAGCACTCCCCAACCACAGCCCACTTCAGGTCCAACCCCACTCCCCTCTCTCCCCCACCATTTTAGGTCCGACTTCACTCCACCATCCCCCATTTTCAGTCTGACCGTGCTCCACCCTCCCCCTGCTTTGGGTCCAACCATGCTCCCCCTTCCTTCCCACCCCCCATTTCAGGTCTGACTCCACC